GTGACAAAAGCTCTGTAAATAGAAAGTGGTGGGAAATTGGCACTGACAATAAAAGTCATGGGTCTCTGGTTGGTTTGTGACCCAAGAAGGCCTCCCTCAGCAAGGGGGCTGGGCAAGGACTCTATAAAGAAAGCTTATAAGTTCACCCCCTTTATCAATGAAAGAGAGAGCTGCACTGTGTTGTCCCCCCCACTCCAGTAACAGTTATTTACACTAAGCTTAATAATAAACAAAGTCTGTGTCTACATTGGTGCGATCCTGCGAAAACATGCTGCCTGTCTCCACTTGCCGCGAGTTCTTGCGCAAGAACACTGACGCTCTAACGTGTGAAATCAGGGCTTCTTGCGCAAGAACTCTTGAGGCTCCCGCTCAGGAATAAACCTTCTTGCGCAACTGTTCTTGTGCAAGAGGCCAGTGTAGACAGGCAACATGAATTTCTTACGCAAGAAAGCCCTATGGTTAAAATGGCCATCAGAGCTTTCTTGCGCAAGAGAGCATCTACACTGGCATGGATGCTCTTGCGCAAAATCACATCTCTTGCACAAAGGCACAGGCCAGCATAGACACTCTCTTCTGGAAGAGTTTTTGCACAAGAACTCTTCCGCAAAAGAGTTCTTGCTCAAAATCATGCCAGTGTAGACGTAGCCAAAGTGTTTTATTAAGTATAAAATGTAGGATTTAAGTGATTGCAAGTGAAAACAGAGAGATCAAAGTCAGTCACTAAGCCAAAATAAACAAAAATGCCAGCTTATCCTAATTAGGGTTGCCAGGTGCCTGGTATTTACCCAGACAGTTCGGTATTTTCGGCTCTTGTCTGGTAAAAAAATTCAGAGAATACCGGACACCTAAAATGTCTGGTATTTTCTGAATTTTTCCCCGGCCAGGAGGTGGAAATGCCAGGCACCTGGCAACCCTACAAACACTCAGTGCCTGGCCTCTTCGAACTCCCCCCTGGCTCCCAATACTCCCAGCCCCCCGATCCCAGCCCCCATGCTTATCTGGTTCCCCAAGGCTGCTGGCCAAAAGACCTATGGGAAGCAATGCTTCCTTCTGACTCTGCATGCACTTAAAGGGGCCATGCTGTTTTAATGCTGTTTTATTTTTTATTATTATTTATTTATTTAGATAATTATTTATTTGCTTAATAACTCCTGGGGTCCTTTTTTTGCTCAACAACTTTGGTCTCTCCCCTCCCCTTTTTTTCCCCCCTCAACATAATTTTTTCCCCTTTTTTTTTGGGGGGGGGGGGAAATCACTAAGAAACTAGGCAGCCTCCTAGCTTAGGCCCAGTCCTTCCCCCTGTTGAATCTTAGATGTTTCCTGCAGGCATCTTGGATGGTAAGTGGCCTCTGGCCACTTCTGCTATTGTTTGGTCTCCCCCCTTTATATCCCTTTTGCCCAAGGTGGGAATTCTTGGCGTTCAGTTCAAATTTTTCTCACCTTGAGTGGAAAAGTACCAGATCTAAAATGAGTTCCAGCATCAGCATCACATATCTTGGTAGGACCAACCACAGTTTGGGCTTACAGGAAAAACAAAAGCACAGTCACGCAGCCATTAAGTTCCTAAGTATCACTAATGACTTTTACTAGACTACCTGGATTAATAAAACAGGTTCCCACTTAATATTTCTAACCTCACATACAGGAAAGATACATGCACACAAATAGGATACACAGATTCATTACAATGACATGTCACATGATCTACTTTACATAAAGCATCTTTGAGTTATGAATATTCATAAGCCAATTGTCTTAAAACATGGGGGGCATGACAAATATATGTATAGAAACATGCTTGGTGAGAGTTATATTTATGCAATTGGAGAACAGAAACATTCCCATCTGTGACCACACACTGAATTTTGAATTCTAGGAATCAGACTTAACATGATAAATCTACAGAGTAAAAATAACTGTCACAATTTGTCAAAAACAAACAAACAAACAAACCAAGCAACCCGAGGCTATTATTGACTTCAGCAAAGCAGCAAAAAATCACCAAAGAAATTGTTTGCTAACATAATAAAGCAGAGAAGAATTCATTTCTCCGTGTTGGTTACTCTCCCCAAAGGGATACTTAAACCTGCTAATGAAAAGATGTTATTTAAACTAGACTGGCCAAAACACTAGAGAATAGACTGTAGGGAACAACCACCAGCCCCAGGGACTTGGCACATACTTAGCAATTTGAAACTTGAAAGCACAGCCAGGTGAGTGTTATTAGCTGACCTCATAGGTCTTTTCCATCCCTAATTATTTAGATTCAGGCACCTTTAAATACAAGGCTGCTTTCAAGCAGCTGATATGGATTTACGGTTCATAACAGCAATCTGTTATGACTAACCTTCTTTTGTCCTATGATAGCAGAGGTGTTAAATTGCCCACTTCATTTTGGATGATCTCCAACTCATCTAATGAAGTGGGTTTTACCCATGAAAGCTCATGATTCTATGTATTTTTGTTTGTCTATGTGTCTAGACTACAAGGTTTTTTCGAAAAAAGTGGTCTTTTTTCGAAAAAACTTCCCCTGCGTCTAGACTCCCGCAGCATTCTTTTGAAATTAAATCGAAAGAACATGGCGTTTTTTTCAACGGTGGTAATCAGGTAGATTCTAAGAGACCTTAGAAGGTCATCAAGGCGGTCTATCCACCTTACAGTCCATGTATCCAATCCATACTTCCTTAACTTGCTGGCAAGAGTTATGTGGGAGACCATAACAAAAGCGACAAGGAGTCCTGTGGCACCTTATAGACTAACTGAAGTTAGTCTATAAGGTACCACAGGACTCCTCGTCGCTTTTGCAGATTCAGACTAACACGGCTACCCCTCTGATACATAACAAAAGCTTTGCTAAAGTCAAGGAATATCACATCCTTCAACTTTCCCAAGTCCACAGAGTCAGTTATCTCACCATAGAAGGTAATCAGGTTGGTCAGGTAAATACCTCCCAGCTACCCGTCCTAAATCTCCTGTACAGACAAGGGAGCTTAAGAGATGTTCAAAAGCTTCAGAGGGGTAGCCAAGATAGTCTGTAACTGGAAAGACTTAAAAAACAACAAATAGTCTAGTACCTCCTTAAAGATAAACAAAATATGTAGGTGGTATCGTGAGCTTTCGTGGGCACAACCCACTTGTTCAGATGACCGGAGTGTTGGAAGTCCAGATCCAAGAATAAATAAGGGAAGGAGGGAGGGGGGAAGAAGGAAAAAAAATGGAGGGGAGGAAGAAAAAAAGAGAGTGAGTAGATAACAGGAAAAACTTAAAAAACAACAAATAGTCTAGTAGCAACTTAAAGACTAAATAGTTACAAGAGGCTGATAAGAATCATTAGTTTTCACTTGGAAAGGAAGATGACCAACACGAGATTCTACACAAACATCAAGAACCATTAGCACCTTCATTGTTTGGTTGGTTGATAATGTGCGAGCATACCATTTGCATGAGAATTAAACTTGAGAATGAAGTTAAATTCCAACCCTTCTCTGTGTATTTGGCTTGTGGAACTGGTCTGAAGCAAAACAGTGACTTGGAGATCCATTAATGAATGTCCAGGCAGGTTAATGTGTTCCTACTTGCAAGTAAGAATAAGAGATTCTCCGGAATAGGGCTTTATTCCAGAGGATCGCGCCAGTCTGGACGCTTTTCTCGGGCTTATCTCCAAGCCAGAAAAAAGCGGCGGCCATGAAAATGCAAATGCTGCGGGGGATATTTAAATCCCCTCGCATTTGCCTCTTCCCAAGTGCTACATTTGCATCCCTATTCCGTAAGAGGGGGCCAATGAAGACGTAGCCTTTCTGTAGAGACTGTCCAGTTAGGCCAATATACACGGCAGTGGGGCATTGCTGGCATTTGATGACATTGATCACATTAGTGGATGTGCAGTTAAATGAGCCTCTGATTTGGTGGCTGATGTGGTTGAAATCGTTTGTGTAGATGTGTGTGCAGAGTTGGCACCGGGGCTGATTGCAGGACTGGGTTCCCAGCAGAGCTGGCCCAAGGAACGAGCGAAGTGGGCTACTGCCCAGGGCGCCCCATTGTAGGGGGCACCGCGCGGGACTGCACCAGGTGGGGGTGGCACTGTGTGTGCTCCACATGCCCAAGGAGGGGCTACGCATGCACTGAGTGCCCGGGGGCGGGGCCACACATGCACCATGTGCTGGGGGTGCCATGACTCCCCGGGGTGGCGCCGTGCTCCCGGGGCACGGGGCGCGTTAATGTCTCGGGCCTGCACTGGTTCCTGGATGCTTATGATAGAGGTGTGTTACGTTAATTTGTTTCAGGTTAGGGGGTTGACTGTAAGCGAGAACTGACCTTTCCTCCAAGGCCTCTGAGAAAAGGCCAATTATTATTCCCAAATGTATTGCTTTTTAACTAGGTACCCGCTGCATGTCTGGTACCTTGCACAAAACACGCTCCATTTTGTTGAGGAAGAAATTGTAGAAAAGTGGAGAGTTTTTTCCAAAATAATTTGCTTGGGTTCAGGGATTTTGGCTGGAAGGGGACAAGCACACAGTGAGCAGGGACATGAGGAGGGAAGCGAGGAGGGAGACAGTGGGAAGGGGCAGAGCCTGGGCTGGGAAGGGGCAGGAGGCAGGGCCTTCAAGGGGAGTTACTGCCTCCCTAAGTGGAAGCTTCACCCACCACCCATGCTGCACCAGGAACATCTTTGGAGTTTCCAGGGGTTGTCTTATGTGTACCTCCTTAGGTCCCAGTGTCTTGGGGGGCCCCCCAAGAAAAGTTGTTGCTGAAAAGGAGGAGCTGATTCATGGTACCTTGACAGCTGATTTCTTCTGGACTGTGGAGGTGGAGGATGATCTCATTGGTGCTCTGGGCATCATTAGTAACACACGTACACAGCAGGATGAATGCACGTGGCATGTCACAGACATGGCCCCAGCGCCACAGAGCTCTTGATCTAAGGGCTTTTGAATGATACTGGCAGAGGAAACTAGTTGCTTTATAGGTTGTTCTGATGATCTCACCCCTTCATTTTGCAGTTTGCCTGGATTTTATTGATCATTCTCATTCTTCAGATCGTGGCTGCTGTCCTGGGATTTCTCTTCTCTGGCCGGGTAATTCCATAGTCAATTCTCTGTCTCTAATTAGACAGTTGCATTTGGCAACATACAATGATACTGGCAGAGGAAACTAGTTGCTTTATAGGTTGTTCTGATGATCTCACCCCTTCATTTTGCAGTTTGCCTGGATTTTATTGATCATTCTCATTCTTCAGATCGTGGCTGCTGTCCTGGGATTTCTCTTCTCTGGCCGGGTAATTCCATAGTCAATTCTCTGTCTCTAATTAGACAGTTGCATTTGGCAACATACTTGCACGAGTACAGATCTAGAAATCAGTAACACCTTATGTACCATTTTTAATATACAAGGCAACCCCTCTGTGCCTCAGTTTTCTCCCTGAAAGATGGAAACATTAATATTTCCTCTGCTTAAGTGGGAGGATGTCAGGATTAATCAGATAATATCTGAATTCATGGTTTAGAGTAAGGATGTTAAGGACAAGTTGACTAGTCGACTATCCAGTAAGCAAATGCTCCGGGGAAGAAAGGGGGGGGGGAAAGAGAGGGTACTTCAAAGCGGCAGCGCCGTACAGCTGAGCCTGGGATCAGCTGTGCAGTGCTACTGCTTTGAAATGCCAAGGTGGCGTTCAAAGGGGCAGCCCTGCACAGCTGAGCCCGGGATCAGCTGTGCAGCACTGCCCCTTTGAAACGCCGTGGCATTTCAAAGGGGCAGATGCTGTGTGGAGACCAGGGTTAGCTGGGGACTCCCCAGCTGACCCGGGGTTCTGGGGAAATGCTGCCCATGGCATTTCAAATCAGCAATGCAACATGGAGCCCGGGGTCAGCGGAGGACTCTGAGTCCCCCGCTGACCCCGGGCTCCACGAGTGTGCAGCACTGCCCCTTTGAAACGCCGTGGCATTTCAAAGGGGCAGATGCTGTGTGGAGACCAGGGTTAGCTGGGGACTCCCCAGCTGACCCGGGGTTCTGGGGAAATGCTGCCCATGGCATTTCAAATCAGCAATGCAACATGGAGCCCGGGGTCAGCGGAGGACTCTGAGTCCCCCGCTGACCCCGGGCTCCATGAGCGCACTTCCGCTTTGAAAGTGTCTATCGAGTAGTCAATGGAAATTACATCGACTGCTCAACTAGTTCATTAACCAATATTTAACATCCTTCGTTTAGGGTGCTATATAAATCCAGAATATTTATATTCGGTCAACAGGGATGCAGGGCGACCTTCTCCGTCTGCAGTTTTTAGGAGGCAAATGGGAAACATGGCCACTTGGGTTTAACTTGCATTTGTCCTTGTGACATTCTCAGGCCTCAGAGACAAGACTTGGGCCCAGAGTGCAGTAAACGGATGGTGAGGGGAGCTTCTGCAAGACAATGAATCTGCCCGGTAGATGCAGTCAAAGGCACTGTCTCTGTGTGTTGCAGGTGCTGGAGAAAGCAACATTTGTGATGGGAAAAGCTATCTCTGCTTATCGGGATGACCTAGATTTACAGAACCTTATTGATTATATACAGAAAAAGGTAACTTAAAAATTTCTCAGATTTGTATCCTGCTTTCCTGTTTAATTATTTTAGTGAAGGTAAATGGCCAAATAGACCCTATCTCAGATCCTCACTGGGATATCAGTGTGGGATTTAGACCCCCACATACACAGGAAGCCTAGCTCTCTATTGTCTTGCCAGGCCGTGTGTCAGGTCAATGTTTCCTACACCGCTCACACTCCGCTTATTTTTTGTGTCCATGGCACCAGCTGTGACATTCACCAGGGGAGTTGGGAAGAGGGTGAAATTTCATCATGGGTCAATTTAGGGAAACTCCCCATTTTTGCTCCCTGTTTGCTCCATGAGACACAGTTGCTTCTCCCTCCCCAGCTGAATTCTGAAAGTCCCAGAGTCTGCCTGTGAATATATGAGAAAGAGAGAGAGAGAGAGAGAGAGAGAGAGAGATATGATTGATTCATCTGTCTCCAGTTCCAGCTGCTGTTCATACACTGAAAGGAGGCCCTAAGGGAGACTGGATTCCAAAGATTTCAGTTTTCCCTGTTTGGATTGTACAGGGTCTTCAGGGTAGTTTATTCTTACTAGTGAGTAACTTATCTCAGTGCTATTCTTAGAACTCCTGTCTGGACAGTCCTGTGCACACCTGGGCCCTGTGTAAACAAGCAGCTATCTCAGGGTCACCCTTTCTGTTTCACTCTCTTAGTTTGAGTGCTGTGGAGTGCATTCCTATAAGGACTGGTCCCAGAATATTTACTTTGAGTGCCGAGACTCCAACCCTAGCCTGGAACGCTGTGCAGTGCCTTTCTCCTGCTGCATCCGGAAGGATAAAGAGAAAGACAAAGTCAAATCTGTAAGTCAAATCTGGCCATGTTTTTACAGTTAACATTTTTTTCTTCAGCTTTTATTTAAAAATCTCCACTGCCGCATGTGGTTGACAGGTAAGGATACACATTAAAATAAAGCCAAAGAGATCTAACAGGAAAGTATCAAAAGCTTCAGACGGGTAGCCGAGTTAGTCTGTAACTGGAAAAGAGGGAGTTACTCACTTTGTGCAGTAACGACAGTTCTTCAAGATGTGTCCCCCAGTGGGTGACGGGGCACCTGAAACCACAAATTGGAGTATTGCAAAGCAGTTTCCCCCCACTGGGCTGTGCCGCTGCCTCCCAAGCACCTGACCCATGTCCTGCTACAGGGCTTGTGCCAGTTGCAAGCCTGCCAGCACCTAGCCAGCAGACCCC